TGTACGTGCCATGGCAGCTTCTAGCAGAGTGTGGGTGTAGTAGGCAGCCGGGAGTGGGTGTGCTCAGAGAGCTCCCTTGGCAGCCAAAAGATGAGTGGGTGTGCTGCAGCTGCAGCGATCTGGACTCAGCAGCGCAGAGGTAGCATTGCACAGTCACTGCACATTCAGACACGGTGCACCTGAATGCAAGGCCAGTATTGCCAGAAAAAGGCAGCCTGTATTTCGGTCTATTCAATTACTATCTGGAGAACTGAATCAAGAATTTCTCCCTTTGTATATTCCCTGAGCTTCAGTTAGTTTTTGTTGGCTATAAATGAGTGCCTTTTGACTCCCTCTGCAGAGAGGAGACTAGCTGGGTATTGTATCTGCCTCCACCCCTCTGAAAGCATTACCCTTTCTATCTGATTTCTTTTCCACAGGCTGTGTAGATTGAAATGCTGTAGGAAATCTTGATTACTGGTAAATTTCTGACTGTGTTATGGCTTTTCAGGTAGAAAGTATATTTTGTCTAGGGTCAAGGTGCAGAAGGATTCAAAGCATCTACCCGATGGGAACAGCGAATAGAATATTCCTTCAACAGACAGATACACACACACACACACACACACACACACACACACACACACACACACACTACATCATTAACTTGTATGCTTAGCCCTGTTATATTGAAAATGACTTCTAACAAATCAGGCTGGGCTCAGCCCTGAAACTAGTCTTTATTTCTAGAACAAAGAAGTCCTTTCAAGTAGATGAAATATAGTCAATCTTGCTTCCTTAGGAATTAATTGTTGCTTTTAGAAAGTTTTTTTTTTTTTACAAACTAACAGCTATAGTTTTATCATATTTTAATACATTCTTTTATGCACATCTTTGCTGGAATATATTTACATTGATTTCACTTAGGTACACTTCTATACATCAGCAAGCTCCACTGGACTTAATTTTCAGTCACAACACATAGACCACTTTTGCAAATGTGCCAGGCTGCCAGCAGAACTCAAACACTTATGTGAATATTCCCACTTAACCTTCTTCAAGCAGAAAAACAATGAAATGGTACTTATTTTATCATTTCCAAATGTAATGGTTTGTTTTGGCAATAATTAAAAATGGCAGCTTATAGACAAAATATTTTGTGGCATAAGCTTTTGTAAATATTGCTCTCTTCAACAAATGCACGATTATCCTTATCTAGAGAAAACTGCTTTTGGTGAATTTAATTAAGTAGACTATTGGTCACAAAAGTTTGGTGTATTAAAAAAAAAACTACAGAAGTGGTCACATATTTTTGTCTGAAGCTATAAATTTATTTACACAAAATTTACCCAGCCTAACTTATTGGGGAAGAAAATTAAGTCAACATTTTTGGTCAGGTGTTTTAACGAAGTTTTTTTTTTATTTGAATTAGAAATCAGAGCAAATTGCTAATGGTAGGAATACACAGGTTCCTCAATTTGATAAACTCCTCCTAAGTTAAAATATTTGATGCTGTATTTAGGATTTATTTAGCAAATTTACTATCCTTAATTATATTGTGTTCTGTCTTATCAATGTACACACCTTACTTCTATCATCTTCAACTCACCTTGCTCTGCCTTATGTAACACAGCACATTTTTTGATTCAGAAGCATCCTGTGAGATAATAAAAGAAGCCAAGGCTTTGAATGCAGTTGTTCACGTCTTTGTTATCTCCTGTTTAGATTATTGGAAATTGCTCTACATGGAGCTGCCCTTGAAGATCAATTAGAACCTTCAGTTGGCCAGAACACTCTGGTCCACATACTCACTAGCTAGTATAGTTATCTATATTGTCATATCACTGCTGCAGGAGCTGCACTAATTGCCAGCATGTTTACAAGTGCAGTTGAAGGTGCTGGTTGCTACTTTTAAAGGCCTATATCAGTGGTGGCGAACCTATGGCACAGGTGCCAGAGGCGGCACTCAGAGCCCTCTCTGTGGGCACGCGCCATCACCCCAGTCCTAGGCCTTCAGGTGGGTTTTATAAAACCTTTTTGCTTTAGGCCGCCGCCACCGTCTGCAAAAAAAAAAAAAAAGGATCAATCAGTCAATTTCAACTTCTCACGGGGAAAAAAAAGATCTTGCAAAGTTGGAATTGACTGATTGAACTTTTTAGTCCCACCCAGTCTGCCGTTACCACCGCAGCCACGCCCAGCCAATGGGCCACACCCAGCCAATGGGCCACATCCACCTGGCACCCGGCGATGGATAAGTGGGTTTTGGGTTGCAGTTTGGGATCTCGGTGTCTAAAAGGTTTGCCATCACTGGCCTATATGGCTCGGGACCAGGATATCTAAGAGATTGTCTTCATGAAATAGTTTCAGAACTATTGAACCCAGATGGCCCAATAACCTCTACTAAGAGTTTCCATCTATTAGAAGAGGTGACAGGAGATGACAGTATTAGGTGTTCTCAAGGGCAGATTTCTTCCTATGAAACAGCTTGCCCCTTAGGTGACTGTCAATCTCCATCCTTATGGCATTCAGGCAGCTTGTAAAACCCGGCTTTTTCAGAATGCCTTTGGGAACTGACTATAAAGCCACAATTCATTCTTTGTGTGCAAATGAGTGCATGCATACATGAATGTTTATTATTTCTTGTTATAAATTATTATTTAAAAATTTAAATGTATTTTATTCTTATTATTTTAATATCTGCAAACTGCCTAAAGTCCATAAGGATTAACGCAGTAGCTAAATTGCATGAATAGATTGTGCCCAGGTGTAAAAAAAATCCATGTAGTATAAAGAAGTTATTTACAAGACAACATAGCATTATTTGTAAATGAACTAGATCGGGTCTAGTTCATTTACAAATTCATACTCCATTTTGAGAATGTAAAGAGGAAGAAAAATACACATGTTAATATGAGTTACTAGAAAAAAGTATAAGACATGAATGCCACTAATAAACTTTCTATCATGTTAGGCATCAGTTTTCAATCAAATAGTTCAGTTTTCTACTATTTGCCCCTGTCCCAAGATAAGGCAATTAAATTCTAAAATTAGGGAAGAGCCTCACAGTCAGTGAAAAAAAAGTGAAACTGAAAGGAGACTGGATATTTCAGCAAGACAATGATTTAAAACAGGGGTCCCCAACCCCAGGTCCGGGGATTGATACCAGGCCGCGGCATGCCAGCAACTGGGCCGCACAAACAAGGAAAGCCCCATCCGCAGGAGGCAGGCAGCACACAAAACCACGCCCCCTCTGGTCTATGGAAAAACCTCTCTCCACTTAACTGGTCCCTGATGCCCAAAAGGTTGGGGACCTCTGATCTAAAACATATCTCCAATTTAACCGTGAAGTAATTTCATGAAACCTCTCTCCACTTAACTGGTCCCTGATGCCCAAAAGGTTGGGGACCTCTGATCTAAAACATATCTCCAATTTAACCGTGAAGTAATTTCATGAAGGAAATATGAGGTTCTGGAATGACATTCATAATCCCCAGACTTGGATAGTACTGAAAATCTATGTGGAATTGTAAAACATAAAGTATATGCAAAGACATGTAAGAATATTTCCAAGCTAGAAAAGTTCTACAAGGAAGAGTAGAGGAAATAAATCCTATAGAAAAAATAGGCTGTTATTTGCCTACAGGAATGCTCAGCAGATGTTATTTTCTGGCAAAGGAGCTAGTTTACTAAGTCATGACTGAAGGAATATCCAAACATATGCACCTGATGCAGTCATTTTTTAAAACAAAGACAGAATTTGGTGCATCTCTGTGATGTTGCTTATTAAACTTGAGCTTCTCCAACACCATCAAAAGAATATTCCAGTCAGGAGCATTTAGAGAACAAATGATTTCCCATATATATACCAGGTGTTCTCCAAACAAAAAGATTAAAAAAAATCCAGGATATTCTGGGTTAAAAAGAAGGTAAGATTGCCTCTAGATTCTGTTGAAACCAGATTATTTAATTTGCATTTATTTATATGCTAGGATTTCAACATGCAGTTGCTGAAAAATCCCTTTGGCTTATTATTAACACTGCCAGTAACAATCGTTCTTGAAGGAAACATCTACTGTCTGAAAGATGGTCAATTCTCCCCACATCTGAATGTAAGTCCTAAGATGTTGACAACATGGTATTTATTATATAGCAGCATATTGAAAAGGCTGTAGAAAGGCCACATTTATCTCAGTTATTCTAAATTAATTGACTTGGGATGCTATCT